CAGGAATTACAGGTAGCAAAATGTTTTATTTATATCTGTGTGTATATATAATCTTATTATCCACTCTAGAATTTCCTCCTTTTGTTGTTTTTCATTATCTTAAACTGACTTGCTTACTGACATATTTGCAGTTGCTAAAGTACTTTTTGCCAAGCTATACTGTTCGAAAGTCATTCTGCATAGAAAATTCAGTCTTGTGTTAAACAAAAGGAAAGTAATAAATTTTTATTTATATCTGTGTGTATATATAATCTTATTATCCACTCTAGAATTTCCTCCTTTTGTTGTTTTTCATTATCTTAAACTGACTTGCTTACTGACATATTTGCAGTTGCTAAAGTACTTTTTGCCAAGCTATACTGTTCGAAAGTCATTCTGCATAGAAAATTCAGTCTTGTGTTAAACAAAAGGAAAGTAATAAATTTAATGATACAATTTAATTAATCTTTTATTATTACTGTCTTTGAAGCTTTGGTGATAAATTGCAGCCTCAGCCAAAAGCACTTCTTGTGATTCATTGCTTGAGACCAGCACTTAATGTATCATCAAAAGTGGACACCTTTCTTTATTTCATGGGTTATTTAACTTGAGAAAGGGAAAGTAACACAAACCTTAAATTTCTTACTCCAGCTATTCTTTTTTAGGAGCCAAAGTCAACATTTATGTTTCCCCAGTGCCTCTCACTTTCACCAAGGAATGTTTAGAATCTTAAATTTCTACCTTTTTTTTTTTTTTTTTTTAATGACAAGTTCTTCTGTGCAAATGCACTGGTTTTGTTGAGCTAATGCTGTTTTCCTGGATCTTTCCTTCTTTTCTTGACTGTGCTTCACTCCTTCCCAACTTTGCAATGTAGCAAGCTGAACAGTTGTTCAATCAGATGTACAATCCAGTAAGTTCTTTCTTAAAATGCCCGCTGTAACATATGAAAGCATGAGGATCCATTCCCTCACTGTGTTGTGCTCTTCCTCTGTGGAGCTTTGCAGAACACTTCTGATGCTCACTGTGCTATATTCATTATATCCAAATCAATGAACTTTGTGGACTTCAAGGCCAATTTAAAAATATGAAATAAATTAATAGTTCCATACTGTGTTTCTGAGAAAGCAAACATCCTAGCCTTTAGGTCCTCAACTTCTCCATTAGAAAAAGCATGCAGAACTTTTTTTTTTGCTTTTAATTTGATTTTTAATTCCCCTTTTGCCATACTTTATTTGATCCTTCAAACTTAAATAACTCCTAATTTATTCAGTTTATCTTCAGTGACTGAGTTGATTAGGTGAATAATATTATCTAGGAAAAGACTGGTAGTATTTTCCAAAGTCCATATGACTAAAATAGGTCAGTCCTACTCATGAAAGGCTGTATACATTCATCATATATACATTAGGAACATGGAAACTTTGTATTTAAGTGAAGAAAATGGTGAAATATAAAATGATGAATGCAAAGGGCAGTTTTTGCAAAAGAACAATATTGCTTTGGCTTGTTTAATATTATTATTCTTGCCAATGTCTGCTTTAACTGCACAATATCACCCCTTCTGACTTGACTGTGCCCCATTTTCAATTTGAGGAAGAGCAGCAACAAACATTCTCTCTGCAGAGGACAGTTTCCAGTTTTTGGCTGAGACCATTACATTTAATGTGCTGTGAACATCACAGAGCAGAAAAAATGATGTAACTGTAATAGTAATTTATAAGCTATAGTTTACATAGTAATCATAGTTGAAATTACCATGTAATTGAGATAGATATAGAGAACTGGGTTTGTAGCTGAAGTAATGCAATACCATGCATTAGAGAAGGTATTGCCATCACTGAAGTCAATGGGAGTTTTGCCATTAGTGTCAGTGGTCCAGGATTCCAGCTTTTGAGTCTATTATGGCTAAGTTTTGTAGCCTCTAACCATGTAATGGATATGTCATGACTTATATATGGGAAAAGGGAGACACACACAGAATATGCTGTGTTTCCTTTTAAAGTTGTTGGTTAACTGTTTTTAGAATTCAGTCATAAATTGTAGTTAAGTAGCATAAAAACTGATACTGTCACCTCTTCCCTCCAGCACATGGCTGGTGAAAGAGCTTCTCCCTTTGAACAATAAATCCCTTTTTTCTGTATCATCTTGGTTCACCTTCGTGGTAGTTATGCTTCTAGTCATATCATTTGCACTCCTGCTGTGCGTGTCTTTTCAGACTGGAGTCTTTTTGCTGTTAGTTTTTAGCTTGATTTTCATAAATGTTTGCCAGTCATTATCTCAGTACTAGTGATTCTGCTGCATAGCATTCATTTGTTACTTCCTAGTCTGTTTGTGTGCAGTATTCCAAAGTCAGTCCTTTTCTTGATTCTTTTTCCTGCCTTTATGTGCTTAATTTTCAAAAGGACAGCCAGCTGGCAGCTCCAAAATGATGGATGCAAATCCTTTTCCCTTGGCACCAGGCAGCAATTGTAGTGAATCCACAAGTCAATTTTGTTAAACAAACTTTTCTTGCTCACCTTTTTCCCCTCTCCTACTTATATATATATATCAGTCTGTTTTTAACAATGTAGGTACCAATGATTCTCTTTTCCCCCAAACCACCTAAGGCCTTGAATTAAAATCCTGAGTTGGTTGAAGTGAATGGCCACATCTCCTTTGTGTTTCACAAGGCCAAGATTTCACCTCTGTTTTTGAGATGGCATAATAGCAGTTACTTGATACCTTTTTTTTTGTACTGAGAATCATTATGGTACTTCATTTAACAGAATGTTTTATTGCCCTTTTTTGTTTTCTTTGAGAATCATAGTGTTATAAAAAACCAGATGTAAATGTAATCTTAAAATACTGAAGTTTTAATGCTCTTTTGTTTACATGTGTCAGAGAAATAACAGTCAATCACTCAGTAAACCTCTTTTAGCCCATGCAGCAATATAGCACTTTTTTTTGTGGCAGAATGTACTTTTTTTTGCTGTGTCACACAAGTATCTACTCCAAGTTTTTCATTTATTGCTGAATCTAATGTTTTTAAAATACAGCAATGGATAGAAGTGTTTTATTCTTATATACATTTGTGTACCAAAGCGGAGATGGTATGGAAGAGGTGAAAATCCTGCATATTCTATAGCAAATAATTAAAGTGTGTTCACCTGTGGGAATAAGATGTGAATAGAATTGGACACACATTGCTTCATGTTTTGAAAGGTGATTTTTTTTGAAATACCCATTGAAATTTTGTGCAAAATTTATTCTAAGAAATTAAATTATTGCCTTTAGGCTGTAAAGAAAATATAATGCTGTACTTAGTCTGGAGTTCAGGTGAACTTTTTTTCTGAATACTAATGACTAAATGTTCCTAAATCCTCCATCAGAGAAATGTCAGATTAAAATTTAAAGTACTTGCAGAATGCACTCTAAATTACCTATAGCAGTCCTGAAGTTAAATAAAAATCTCATGAATTTTAAGGAGAAAAAAAAAATTAAGGTGACAGCAATCTTTTTTTTTGTCTGTTATTGAAAGTAATAAAATTTGAAGGATCTTACAAAGTAATTTCTTGCATGTAAATTCTGCTGTTCCTTTTTTTCTTTAAGTAGTCAGTTGATTCATGTGTGTCTGAAGCTCTGAAAATCAAATACTATATCTATGCATCCATTTCTGTTATGCAGAATAATGCATGCATGACTATATCATAAGATGTTAATAGACTAAATAATTGTTCTTGCATGTTTGTGCCACACTGTCATGGTGTTTCTGTAGGAAATATGTGGTTTGCATAAGGAAATAGTGCTTTACTTCTGAAGTATTTGTAGTGTTTATTAAGCAAATATCAGAAAAGATACATAATGTCAAAATTAGTGAAGTTCTGTTGGTAGAGTGATATGCTATTTTTATTGAATTGTAAAAATAACATACAACAATGTAGTCATGAGACTGACAGAGACATCACAAAGTGAATGTGCTAGTTTGAAACTAAACTTATCTGCACACACAAGAATTATTATTTGCAGATACAGATTAAGAAGGCTGAAAGGTACACATGGACCTGTCACTCTTACCCATAAAAGCCCCGTGAAAGTAGCAAATGTGTTCCTTCCAGGAAAACAGAGAATTTAGGGAGAAAAAGGAGGACAGAAATGAAAAAAAGGAATGGAAGAGAGGATGGCAGTAATAGGTAGAGACTTTCTGATTCATGTGATAATCATGCAACTTCTGGCTAGAAGCACTGCAAGCCTGTCTCCCACAGCCTGCAGAAAACCCAAAGAAATCTGCCCTGGCCTGGCAGGAGCAGGGTCAATATCAGCTGTGCTGCCTTTCAACTCCTTTGGGCCTACTGCTTGAACTCTGAAGTCAAGTTCCATGTGTCAACAAATCACCCCTGATCTGGACACAACAAATTTTTATAAGTGCCTAGTTCAGATCCAAACACATCTTTCAAAGCTGTAAAATGTTATAGGGGCCTTATAAGTAATTCTATGCCTTTGTCCTGGGAATGTTGGATGAACTGTGTGCTTCTCTCTTCTAGTATCAGCAGCTTTGTTTATAACAGGAGGATTCCCTCAAAGGGAATCATTGCAGGTTAGAGTACCACCTGCAGAAAGCTCTTTGTAAAAAATATTTTCTGTTATTGTTCTAACTTTCCTTTCCTTTGTTATGTCAGTACCCTTGTAGAAATCTGATTCCTGCCAATGGTCCAAAAAGATTCTATAGGAAGTGCTTTTAAAAGTAGAGGCAACCAGCTAAACTGATGGTTTGCAATACTGGGATTTTTATTTATTTGTTAAAGATGAGAATAACCTTATAGTACTCTTTGAACTGAATGCTTACATTGATTTATATGTGACATTATAAATAACTGTGCTGTACCTCAGAACCCTGTATAGATTGGATGCATAATCACATTGGATTTAATCATACCTTGTAGGTTCTGCCTCATGTTGAAAACCATGACTGACCCAGTTTGTGCTGCAGAATGTTCCAAAAACACATCCCACAAATATTTGAATGGCATGAGAACCTCAGAAAACACAAGAATTGAAAGGACTATTGCAACTTAATGTTTATTTCCTTACCATGCTGTTGAGCAAAGATTAAAGGGCTAAACTGAGGAATATATCTATTATTTCAGGTGATGATTTACTTATCAGCTGTGCAGCAGATAATTCATTCAGTGTATTTTTGAGCTGCTGTATGACAGTAGAACATTTGGCACCTTTGCCTTGGTTACACTATCATGTTCTTGCCCAATTATGTATTTAACTCATAGAAAGTCCAGTGTGGCAATGAAAAGCAAAAAAAATAGACAGGCTTCTCTGTTTTCTGCATTGATTCTTCCCCTGGATTAAGACAAGCATAGAGGTGCATGGGGAAAAAGGTTTGGGCTGAAACACAATTCGTTTATGCTAAAGTCAAGATTGGTTAGAGGAAGGAAGGTGGGTATTTCTCCTCTTTATGAAATGATGGAAGTAAGGCTGGTAAATAAGTTAATTATACACTCACACAAAGGGAAGGGAAAGAAAGGTGACAGGAATGTGAAACAGTGATCACCTGTAGCGTGGAACTGTGAAATTCTGGATTTACCCTTAGGAAATGAGGAGAAATCTGAAGAACAGTAGGGAACAACATACTTTTCTTAGTATCCTAAAGGTGGGAGTTGGGTTGTAATTTTTTCTAGAGTGAATTTGCCTTTGCCAACCTATGAAATTATTGTTATTTGCAAAAGAACACAGTGATAAAACATAGTATAATATCATAATAGCACTAATGGATAATTGAAGTGGTTTACAGCTGGAAATTGGTACAGTCTCTCACATAATTGGCCCTGAGTCTGAGTATTACATTGACTTCAAAAATTACAAAGCTGGTGGAAAGTAAATTTCTTGATACAATTAACACGTGGTATAAAATAAATCCAAGCTTATTGTTAAAGCAGGAAGATCTTTGAGGCCGAAAAGGAATCAGTGGCTAGCAGCTCACCCAAAGAGCAAAACCAAGATGCTCCTTGAATGTTACCTTGAAATGAGCTCTGTGTTAGGAAGGTCCTGCATCTGCACAGAATTCAGGACTGTTGCATGTAGTATTAGCCAAAACAGAGAATCTGAGGAACAAGACCAGTAGTTTTAGTAGGCTTCTCATGTCATTCCCTTGGCTTCTTTTGATAATGAAATATTTCTTCTGAATAAAAATCTCAGAGTAGGATAAATAGCACTTCAAATCTACTATCTTTTTCTAATTATCCTCATGCTTAAAAGATATGTTACATGCAAACTCCCTAAGTTTCTTCCCTAGTAATTTCCGTTTAAGTGTTGTATATATGGTAAAGTCAGATTTGTTCTTTATTTATACAGAAAATTTTAACCATTGCAAAGGATACGAACCTTCAAGTATCTGTAGTTTATATTAATCCTTTCCCAAACATGCATGTTTCATTTTGATCTGCATTTCTTTCATTGCTTGCTTTCATTGTCTATTCCCTGAAATTAAGAAGGATAAGTAAGTCCACGTCTTCTCTGTGTAATAATATAGTTGGAGGACCTTCAGCTCTAAATATCATGTATGTTATCTGAATTTTCTATGTTTAATGTGCACTGCCTTAAACTACTTGTTTTTTCCTTGCCTGCTCTTTCAAGATGCCAATTAGGAATAATGGGAAGCAAGGGGTAGGCTAAGCATTGCAGTGCATTGTTGTTTCCATCTGTCTGTGATTATTTCAGCCAACAGTTTAAAGCACTTGATGCCAGATCATGCTCCCATTGAAGTTAATTGGGTTTTTGCCATTAGGTTTGATGGGAGTTGGATTGGGCTCTGCACTGTTGTTGTATTCATTGCGTTCTCTCTTGTCCATGAAACTGCCACCCATCCATGCATGTGTTTGCCAGGTTTGTGCTGTTTTCACCAATGAGCTTGTTCCAATGTTTCAGGTTAACTATTAATGATAAAAGAAAAAGGATTATTGGTTAAAATGTCTGCTGAAAGCAGCTTTCACATTTATTGGTTTGTCTTTTATAAACAACAGTGCATAAAACCAATTTCTTTCTTTTAAATTCTTCATATCAAACCGCATTTGAGACATGGTGATACAGATATATACAACATGTATATCTGTATTTGTGCTTGTTTATATATATATACATGGACAAAGTGTGTGTGTATATATATGGGGAAAAAGAATATGATTTGTTAAGAAATTTCCTACATATTTGAATCAAATCAAAAGCATAATGTTAATTGAATTAATTACAAGGTTTTTTGAATTTCAAAAAACACCCTTAAAATATTGTCACTTTAATGTTTAAAACACTTTAATAAATCCCCTCCCCCTCCAGGATGATAGAATTTGACTATGAAGATGTTTTCATTTCTTTTTATAATGCTTCTGTTGAAAAGAGTGTCATTGGACAGAAATACCCATAATCCTTTTTAATGAAAACTTGAACTCCAAGACTGAAGAAGTAAAGCTCTTAAAGCTATTTAAGTTATTGTCATCCTTATTTTTTTTGAAATATTGATTCTGAAGGCTCATGAGGCTGAAGAGGAGGCACGGATGAATCCAGAATTTGCAGACAGAATGAAACAGCTTGACAAAGAGGCATCGTACTATAGAGAAGAATGTGGCAAAGCTCAGGCTGAGGTTGACAGACTTCTAGAAATACTCAAGGAAGTAGAGAATGAGAAGAATGACAAAGATAAGAAAATTGCTGAGTTAGAAAGGTAATTTTTGTGTTACTTGTCTTACACTTAGTGGAATTTTTGCTTACTTGATTTTCATTTCTGAGCAGAGAAGTTAAGAGCAGAGTATGTTTCTTAACAGAATATTTGTTATGCCTTGTAAAACTGAATCAAAAATGAGAAAAAATGGCTACTTGAGAACTGCATCTCTTGTCTGCTGACTTTGGAACAATGTAAGGTTTCCATTTTTGTAATACTCTTCATAAAAGGAACATATATAGGAAAAGTCATGTGCAATTTACAGAGACAACAACCCTCCGAGAAAACTGTGTTGGGGAACAATCCTGTCTTTCTTGTAATTGGTGAACTAAAACCGTCCCCACACATTTCTTCAGTGTGAACATCCTCACTAGTTCTCAGAGGGCTTGAAAAGTATTGGTAAGTATTTTTAACCTGTCTCATGACTATTTAATAATAGTTGTAACTATTTCTCAGTGTTTCTCTCGTCTTTGTCTGCTTCAGAAGAATATCTTCTGATGTTGACCAGGCAGTGATTTTTTTCTGGGAAGTTTGTGCAGTCTTTTCTTAATGGAGACAGGAGCATTTGGGGACCCATTTATCTCATGCTCTTTGTAATTCTTGGAACCTTCTCCCATATGGTATGCTGCTATTCGATTTGTAAGCAATTTATGTTGATCTGATTTCTTTGTTTCCTTCCTCTCTTTAACCACTCTTAGTTAAATGAAAGAAGGATTTTTTATGTTTTCAATTAATTTATATAATTGTTTTATTGTGATCGTCAGAAGAAAAATGTTTCATGGTTTCCAGAGAGAAGTTTTAGTGATCTCATTGTTGTGATCATTGCTACAGTTCCAGTCAAGATAGAGCACTGCTCTGCCCCATTAGGACATATTACCATAAAGAAGGGGAAGATCTGTCAGACATGTTGGTTGCCTCAGGAGGAGGGAAAACAGCCAACTTGGAAAGAAAGATGAGTAGAGCACCTTTTACCAAAGATGACTTATCAACCTTCACAGTTATCTGCTGCCAAAGCTTGGGGTTTTTTTTCTGCAGACATTTGGCAAAGTTTAGTAATGGTTAAGAAAAGAGTCCTCAAATTTAAAGTCAAAAAAGATTTGTACTCAAAATAGAACCGATTGTTTACATGAGGACAACTTCAATTAGCAGTCACCTTTCTCACCACATCAGAAAGAGTTTAGAGTACTTGAGTGTTTGGACTGATCTGAATGTGTAAAACAGGTATCAGAGGAAGCAAGTAAGGAAGAGCAGTCACTCTGTGCACTATGCCTGTGAATTCTGTCTAAACTCTCCAAATTCCTAAAGCAGCATATTGGAAAAGATTACACAGTTAGAGATTTTGTGTGGTTGAGAAAGTGCTGCCTATTACACCCATTGGTGCACGTACTGTTGAGATGATTACAGACCTAGGCTGGTAATACAGTGACTCCAGGTGTGACCACAGTGGTGGAAAATGACTGTTTTTTAAATAAACACTGAAATCCTCCTTGCACTATAAAACCTACTGTGTTATTGTGACTAGGCTCAATAGTAGGCAGGCTAAACTTCCCTTCAAGGAGATAATCTTAAGACGTTTATTAAGTAGCAATCACATACACCTTGAATGGCTGAATATTAAAATGACAAGATTAAAAGAAGATAATGGTGAAGTACTGAAGCTTGTAATGTTAGACTTTTTGTAAATGTTTATTTGTTCTATATAGTTAAACTAAAAAGAGATAAAGAATTGATAGAGATCAGGAGATTTATTTGAATTGAACTGAGGATTATTGATTACAAAACAATGATTACAAAGAAAACCGAGGGGTTCAGAGCTATTATTATGGCATTGTCAGCATACAACCTGCTCTTATTGTCTGAGAACCCTGTAATGGCCTATGCAGTGGACAGGATTTTCTATTTTTGTATTCATTTTTTAAATAATAATTTGATGTAGTCTTATTAGTGAAATTTTGGAACACCAGTTTCTAGTCTGTTACTGTTGATGAGAGTGTTGATACTGAAATAACTTTTCAGAAAATAACTTGGTAAACAGATTTTTTTATGATATACTGTACTTACAATGGGATGAATTAGTTAAACTTTGCTATGAACCTTTCAGTGCTACTGTAATGTTTACAGTAAGATATCTCTGGAATGACCAGGTAAGGACAGTAATATGTTGCAATTTTGGGAATCATGATGCTCTAAGATTTCTTTTTGAATTCTATTAACTTTAATGCAGTTTCTCAGTTGATTTACCCTATGTACAGCTTTCAAGATTAATTCCAATTTCCTATACACACAGTATATATGAGGTAATTATTGTAAACTAGTAAAAGGAAAAAGAATTGACAAAAAATTATCTACTATTGACTTTAATAACAGAAGTTACTGCTGTTACTTGGTAATGGAGTCTTAAAGCTACTTTCCACCATGCCTAAGCAGAGGCACAAATTTGTTGATTGGTTGAGTAAGTCTGGCAATCTACTGACAATATAAAGGTGTAACAGGGAAATATTTTTTGAATGGGTGTCTAACCTTCCTTACTAATCAGGTTCACTTTAGGTTTCTCTAAAATTTAATTTATTTTCTCTCTCTCTGCTTATTTTCTAAAACCGTTGGCCAAGAGATCTGTATTTATCTGTGGCACCTGTTGGTGTCCCTAGAGGGGAACTTTGATGTTGAATTTCCCCTTTCTAGGGGGTTAGGTAGAGTGTAAATTGCTGTAACATTTTATGAAGTGCTATTACTTTTTTCTGCTTGTAATGATTAGTTGATTGGCTCATTATTGAAGGGAAGAGGTGGAGCCAAAGCTCAGCATACCCACTTTTATGGGAATAAACCATTGTGAAAATGACTGCAGCTTTAACAAAGCAAATTTGAAAATGTTCTTTCCTTCTTGTCCTGCTGTTTTTGCAATTCATATAATGTGCCCTGGGTTGCTATTTGCTCTACCTACTTTTTCTCCTTTTTTTGCCTTCCTCACAAGCAACATGTCAATTATATTTCCCCTAACTTCAGATGCAAGGGCACTTCTGGGGTTTTGTAGGAAAATGAATGTGCTTTTAAGATGTATTTGTTCATTAATAACTTGCTGGAATCTGTATTCACTGCTGTGCCAACATCTTTACATTGCAAGATAATTGCAGCAGCATAAATTCTCAAAATTTATAAACATAAATTTCTGAGAGAGTTATAATCTAGACTATTTCAAACTGTGGTATCTTCACAATATTTATTATATTCATGTATAAATTCATCAGCATAATGAGGTACGCTTGTATAAATCAGGTTGAAAAGTAAAAGTGGTTGTAGTAAAGTTATCCTTTACAAATTCAAACAAGAGCTAAAACGAGATGATGAATATTAGTGTTCTACTATTTGTCAGGAAGTATTGACACAGAAAGTGTTAAATAGTGGAGGATAGAAATATCTGTTTTGAGATATGGGCAATTAACTTTAGAAGTATATGTTATTTGGCATATGAACATTATTAATATATATGAAGAAGTCTTCGTGTGAATGGTGATTATTTTGGTTTTAATGTGATTTTCTTGGCTCAGAAACTGTCGCACTCTCGAGTTGCATCACTTCAGATTAATATTATTTCTCTTATATGAAAACATGTCGGTCTGTTTCTTAAATTACTCTCTATATTAATTTTGTATTTCACACTTTCTTATTACTACATAGGAGAGAAAATTCCTTCTCCTGTACTAAAGCTGCTTGATAACTTTTATTATATCTTTCATGATTTATCTGTTTATAATTTAAAAAAGCTTAAAATTAAATGCAAGATATTGTACTTTCATTAAACTTAGCTTAATGCTTTTCCTTGGTTTTCTTGATGAAAGTAATATGGTGTGGCTTCGTTTTGGTTTACTTTTTAATAATGTAAATGAAACTGGGTAAGATAGTGATCTGCTTAAATTTTAAAGCAAAGGGCCTAGCCAAGGAGAGGGAGCTGTAGCTGAAACAGAACTTGAGTGAAGGAGTATATTGCTTAAACATTGGCTGAATTTGCTTATGGATGTTTCATTTTGAGCCATCTAAATAACGAAGCAGACATCTAAATAACAAGGAATGAATCCTGATATATTAGAATAAATGTCTGCAGTAAGGTTAGGAAAGTATTAATGTCATCAAGTGCTAGCAAGGCTCCATGTGGAACATACTGTGTACTTCTCAGCAGTCATGTTTGAGGAAGTTGGATTAAAACTGGAAACAGGTGCAGAGAGGGCTGGTAAGATAATTAAAGGAATGGAGTGCTCATGTCACAAGAGGGGTCTAAAGAAGAGTGGTTTGTTTCTCTGGCAAAACAAAGGCTCATGAGGGATGCTTGTTCTCTATAAATATATGAAGAGATAAGCACTGTGATGAAAGAACAGTGATTTCAGTAACAGAGCACTGGCGCATAATACAATGAATACAAATTATCCATTAATAAATTTAGACTGAAAAGAGAAAGAAGGTGATGACAACATAGTGTATGTTGAAAAATCCTGGATATGCTTTACAGCAGTGGTATGTTAGATGGTGAGTCATTTGCTTGATTGAATATATCTTCCCAGAAGAGGTAGCAATCATATGAAAGTCCATTTTAAAATACTGTACTAGCTACAAGATGAAACCTGTTTACTTTTAAACAAGAAGTTTGGAGTTTTGTTATCTACTTCTCATATGCAGCGGTAAATGTTGGCTAATAATATTATAGATGTGCATTTAAGCTCTGTGGTTTAAGTTCTTGGGGTGTTCAGACTACAATTAATTAATTCTGAATTAATTTGGATTTGAATTCTGAAGAAGGTAAGTCCACACAGCCCTGACATTTCATTGTATGAGTGACAAACCATCAGCATATGGAATAATTGCGTTTTTAAAAAAAGTACTTTTATGGCTTTAAAAAGTATTCCCTTTTCTAAATGCACAGAATGCTGTGCATCAGTGACAGCATTAAGGACTAGTCTAGCTGGGTGGAGAATTTTTTTGGTCTTGCTTACTTTAAAGGGCATTTTTAAAGCAAATGAGTTATCAAGCATGGGAGTCTTTTCAGTGCTGAAGTATTAATCTTATTCCTTACTGAATGAAAAATGTGCTGTCAGCATTAGAAGGGGGTGCATTTCCTGGGAGGGATTGGAGGGCAAATCTTTGTCTTTGATTATTAGGTACAGTGCTTTGTGAACTTCTAAATGATATCTTTGGACAAGATGCCAAATTATTTAGCTGCTTTGACTTCCATGGGGATGCTTGATGAACTAGTGTCACCAAACCTATGTTAGTTCAAAAGACTTTGTAGTATATGATGAGACATTTTTGTGGCAGAAAATGCTACCAAAATATTCACCCAAATTATTTGTTTCATTTGGGGGGTGTGTGCATTTTGTTCATTATAAATATGGATGGCTTTCCACAGTCCACAAATGACAAGATGCCATTTTACTTAAAAATTTCTGTTTTCTTCAGTGCACAGCAAGGATATAGCTCTACAGAGATTTTATTTTACTTCTTGCTTTTCCTTCCCTTTTATTTGATTTTCTTTTATTTTTTAATACTCTGCTAATATAACACCTGCTTGTTATATTTTTAAAGAACTAATGTATTCCTCCCTTTATTCTCTTTTGCTGTCTTGCTCCTTATCTGTTTTTCTCCAAACTGCTGCTTTCATCCCTACTCCAACCAGCTTGACTTCCAGGTCAGTATTTTCTGCTCTCCTACTTAATGCTCCTTCCACAATGAAGGTTTTCATTGATGCTTCATTTATTTGGCCATTTTATTTCCATATTAATAACTTCTGTTTATCTTTTGTTGTTTTTATTCTGCTTGTTCCCATTGTGAAGTTTTTGGTCATTTCATTTCTAGATCAAAAACTTTACAGTAAACAAATGCTTTTTTCAAAAGCCTGTAAGAAAAAAATGTTTATTAACAACATATTAAATTCATATGTTGTTTTGTTTGAAGATTTTTTTCTTCTTTCATTTTACTTCTATTATCTTTGTTTAGGGAGTTCAACATCCGGAATAACTTTTTTGATAGCTAACCCAACCCAGTAGGTAATGTAATGAACAGTGACAATTGTATACAGAATTTTATACCAAAGATCAGAGACTTACACTTAATACTTTGCCATCACTCCTTTTGCTGTTATTACAAGCATAATAGGTGGAGTTGCAGTGGTTCAAAAACTTTTAGTTGTTTGTGCTGGCCAGATTCTAGCAAACACATAACTGCAAGGGAGGTGTCTGTATGTATGTCTTTTATATGCTGTGTTTTTATATAGCTCATCTAGTCAAATTCATGTTTTGTTTCTTCCAGGTTTTAGATTAGTTTAGCTGGTGTTTGTGCTTGTGTCCAAAGAGTTCATATTTCATGGTTCAGACATGTCAGAGAAGCTTCTGACGTGGCTCTTTGAACTGTATGGCAAAACATGGTTCATTGTGAAGAGATTGACAAGGCAAAACAGTTTTTTCCTGATGTACTTGAATGCACAGCACAATCACAAGTTACTTTCCAGCTGAAAAATCTTGGTTCTGAAATTTGAGGCTTATCGATTGCAGTAATGAATTGGATGAAAACTTTTTTTTTTTTTTAATTGTCAATCTACTACAAGCACATTTTAATGTGCTTGAATGGACAGTTATTACACCTGGGTTATGAAAATACTTTGACAATTTATTTTCAGAAACTTTCTTCCAGAAGTTAATTATATGCATTTACTCTGGAGTTGGCTATGATGAAATTATTGTCTGAATGTGACCACTCTGCATTTCTACCAGAGCATACTCAACATTGATTGAAAATCTCTCTAGCCCAATAGCTTAAGGAAAGATATTATGCTATGTGGTTGTCATTATGGTTGATTTCACTGGAATTCAGTGATTGGTATGCAGAAACATTTGTTCAGCAGTTGGAGGTGCAATTTCTGTTATGTTTTATTGACCTAAAAAACTAGCTGACCTCGTTGAAGCAAACTGTCCTCATAACCCTGCCAACTTTCATCCCTAGAGTCCTAGATAAGTTGTAGCTTATGATTAGAGTTTATTGTGGGAATTCAGTGAAGTGTTAAGTTTTCGCAGCTTGAATCTTCGTTAAGTTCAAAACTTAATTTAAGGGCAGATCTATTAATTTCTGCTAATCACTATGTTCTTAGCTGTCATTTTACTCATCCATATTTATATGAGGTTGTAATGATTAGAAAAATGCTGCACCTGTTTTATAACATGGTGGTTATTGATTCTGGTGACAAACAAGAAAATTAAATATGTTGGCATAATCCCCCCAAGTGCATCTGCCTATACAAAATGAAAATATTCTGAACACAACAGTCAGTACAGTAACATCCTTCCCCCACACTTAGGTTGCACCAGGTTATATACTCCCCAAACTCTTCTACCTGCAGATAAAGAGGAGATGGGTATTTTTTATCATGTGTGATATACTGAGCAGTGCTAGAAATTTTCCCACCAGCCTCTGATGTTGTCCTTCCTAATTGTTTCCGTGGGAGGCTAGAGCTCAATGAGATGTGCAAGGCAAGGTTTAACAGAGTTTTAAATTTAACTTACAAGCCTTCCACAGTTTTGTCAAATGTCAATTTGATGGTTCCAAGGGCAGAGTGATATGTTGTTCAAAGATAATTTCCTTGGAGAAATTGAGATAGTGTACTACTGAAAACTGAGAGAATCTGTGATATACATTACTCATCTGAGAGACTGGTTATTCTGAGTGAGAAACATAGTTGTCACATTGGATAACAGGCAGATTGCTGACATGTCTTTCTGTTTTAGTCTGTTTGCTACATACACAGAACCAACATTTTAGTGTTTAAACATTTTGAAAGATGACCATTTTAAGAAGAGATTATTTAGCTTTATCTGATTACGTGTGGTTTTGAATTTTTGTAAATTTCATTTTATTTAAGAAATAGTAAAGTAGAAAGTATTTCCTACTTTACTTTTTTAAAAATAAGAAGTAAAATAACACTATATTACAAAATCAGAAATCATAGTGATAAACAATACAAAGATACAAATGGGTCTCTGGGACAAGAGTATGCATCACTGTTCATTTTCATCCCACTCACTACTGAACCTGTGTGCTCAGTTCTATACTTTCCCTTTCAGTTTGCTTAATGGCAAATAGAGGTTAAAATAATAGAAATGGATTATTAAATAGGGAAGCATATTTTGTAATTTCTCAGTGATTTGCTGCTTTTGGGATTTGATTTGGAGTGTAAACACTCTGTTAAAGTAAATGGATATGCAGCATGAACTGGCTATGAGGAGAAAAGAACTCTACCTCTCTGAAGGAAAAATATCCACTTTGGATTTGGTTGGATGTGACACCACAACTCTGTGTTGGAGAAGAGAACAGAAGGATCTGTTGCTCTTCCCAATTCATGGTAACTGATTTCAAGACAGAGCAATATTTCTTATGCTTCTCTAGACCTGCTGCCTCCACTAGTTTTCCCCAGGGGGAAGATCCACAGATCATGTTTCTTTACCTCTTGAATATGTGACTAAAGTAGCCATAGAGCACTTCTCTGGGGAGCTTGGTGACTGCCTGGGTGCTATGTTGTCAGGATTCCCTATGTAGAGTGGAGGGGTGTGTGAGTGAAGAATCACTGTGAGATAGCACAGCTTGCCCTCAAAAAGCTGTGACTGAAAAGACACAGGGGAACTAAATTTAGGAATTGGGCTGTTGGTGAAGCCACTTCTTCCACGTGCATTGTTTGCCCTCACGATGCAGGAGCAACATGCCTGGCCAATGTGATTGTGACTGGTTTGAAATACTCAGATCTGAAGTTATAGTAAGGGGAAGTTAGTATGTCTAAACAAGAAATTATACAAAGTGTACCTGATTTATTTGGAGGTCTGAAGAAGTTACTGCAAAAGCAAGGAAAGCTTGATTTTTCTCTTGAATGATAATGTCTGGATTGATACTGAGAACTTCTAGGGTGAGCCAGGAATTGCAGTCAAAAGATTTCATTCAGAAGGAAATTGCAATGAAACATGGAGTGCTGCAGAGGAGGTGTCATCCTGATTGCTGTCAGGCTGAGCTGGACATGCCGTGGAGCAGTTGGATGCAGAGAAAAACTGGACAGAGTCAGGAGGTGCTGGGGCTTTTTTGTGTATTCTTTTGTTCCTTTGTGTGGGGCTGTTTTGTTTGTCTTTTAAAGAAAAATAAGCTTGTCTGGAGTATGCTGGAAAGGGCCTGATAGAGCAGTAGCAGAACTGCAATTCCTTGGTTGCAAATAGGCAGCAAACTATTTCCAGTTACTGGTTACGGTTATTGCTAATGGTATCAATTAATAAAATAGCTGAGCAAGCAATTGCCCTATTAAATCAGATCCAATATCATTCTCATTTAGTGTTCTGTCATCAGCAGGACTTATTTTTCTTTTAAAAAAATTATTTTTGAAAGAGTATCAGAAGAAAATGCAGAACAATCCTGAGTGTACAAGAGACGTGTGATAGATGAGTCTTCTGGCATGAATTTCACACATGTTCATGTAAAGTGTCATCCAATAAGAATGTGCTGAGGAAGACAGTAGTGCAATGCTCTGTGCTGGAATTTCAGTGGTTGCAGTGCAGATATGTGTTGAAACAAAGTGACATGAACCATAGTTTGGAACAGGATTTTTGTAGGTCTTTTTCATTCATGCATTTTCCTCATGTGGATATTTCTAGCATCTCTCTACGGCTTTGGAGGGAACTGTGTCAGACTAAACACTTCTTAAATAAAGATTTTGGAAAACTTCCCAGATTGTGTGTTAGGTAGACCCTTCCTCCCACCTTTTTGTCTTTGAGGTGAGAAATGTTTCAGTGACTTCTGTGACACTTGCTTTATTTCTTCCAGGCTGAGTTGTTGGTTGTTCCAGGACAAGAGTATTGTGTTGTATTTGGAGGCAAAATAGATGTCACACTGAAGTACTCTCATAATCTGAGTATTGCAAAATCTGAAACTAGCCTCCAAACTGTTGAAATAATGAGATATAAAAGGGGGTGGGGAGAGGAGTAAAAAAGAATATATTTTTTCCTTTTTTGGGGGGTTTTGGTTAACACAGCAATAGGATCACTTTGGGGTTTTTTGAGACCTATAGATCTCTGTGGGCTGTAAACCTGCTCCTTGGAGTGAAACTGAAATAGCTATGTAATCTATCAGTAATAGGAGCTAGGAATGTAATGAAAACATATAATACACTGAAATTCATTTATCTTAAGTGGTAATTCTTGAAAAAAATAGAACACAGAGACTGCCTCTCAGTTCTCCTGATGAGTAGATAAACTGTGACATGGAGTTTGCCATAGTTTCAGCTTCAAGTGAATGGCAGAAGGAAGACCAAGGATTCTTCTTCAGTCAGAGATGAAAATATTAATTTCTTGTGATAATACTTTCTCAGGCATGTGGAAAATAGGGGCACTTGTTACCAAAAGATAAAGTCATACTTCCCAAAGTTAAGAATTCTCTTGTCCAAAAGGCAGTAAAATTATTTTGAGTTCTCATAAGTTTATTTCATAAGGGAAGGTCTTCATGTCCACTGTTAGCCTTCCTGGCAGCAGGGGCACTCCAGCCACAGGGTGAAAATGTTTTCTGTGTCTCCAGGAGACATCCGCTCATGCTTGCCTTCTCATCCCACACAATAATAGACATGCTAAGGAATCTGACTTACTTCCATTTATGTCACTGTAGAATAGA